TTGCTGAGGCTGTCTTTGATCTTGCGATCCTCCTGCTTCAGCCTCCCAAGCTGCTGAGATTACATGCACACCATGCCTGGCTAGGAGCCTATTTTATACCCCTGTATCCCCAGGACCCAGCACAGCATTTGACAAGAGAGTCATTTCATGAATATTGTTGAACATATAAATATGCATTTTTTTGATAAATCAAGACAAATCTGAGCAGTACAAAACTTGAAAAAGGTGAAAGATTCCAACTAATAAAATGGAAGTGGGGGATGGCATTCCAATAGTGGTGCTGGAAGCAAACTAAGGCTGCGGGAGAGGTGGTGAGAAATGAGGCCTAGATGCTTTCTGGGCATTGTCCAGGGCGGGACTGTGAAATGTAAAGCAGGACAGGATGCAATGGGCTTCCATAGTGTGCTCCCATGACCTGTGTGGTGTGACAGTGCAGTCATGGCAAAGAGCCATGACAGGGAAGGGGACCCTGGACCCTGGTTCCTCAGTGAGTGTCCCTACCATGAGAGTTGACAGGCTGGCAATGCTCACTCCGGCACCAATCACTCCTATGACCTCTCAGCAGTCCCCAGACACCCCCTCGAGAACTTCCTGTGGGGAACCTTCCCTGTGTACCTTTCTGTTTGTCTGTGTGTGTGTGTGGATGGGGACAGAGCCATAGAAAGTGCCATCAAAGAGATCGTACCATAGCTTCCCACCTCTGAACCTCATCAACCCAGACAGTCCGCACTCACCCAGAAACAACCCTTTCCATGACCACATAGCCCATCTTTCTGGAAAACCAATCCTGTTCAACGGGGGGAGGGGGGGGAAGCAGAAGAATAAAAGGAACAATCAAAAAAATCTCTCTTGCTTTTCCTAATAGAAATTGGCCACCCGGGCAAGGTAAACTGGCCTTTGCCCTTCCTGCGTCTCCCACCAGTGCAAAATCACCTGAAAGTCCTCCTAATCCCAAGCAGAGCTTATACATTCGATGAGCTTTTGGAGACCCCTAGAAAACTCTGGAGTTTGCTATTTGCAAGCCTGGCCAGGGTGACCTGGTGCCAGAGCTTGCCTCCACTCTGGTCTCTGATGCTGCCTGTGCAAAGCTCTGGATCTTATTTCAAGAATTCATCTGTTCCAATTTTGTCTTCTGCCTAGGTCTCAACCCTCGGCTGAATTGTAATTACTTGCCCTGGGGGTGCTGGGGGAGACTCATTTTGGAGGAAAATGCCTTCCACCGGGCAGCACCAATCTAGCCTGTAGTTAGCATCTATGAATCTCAACTCAGCGCGGCCTTTGCTCACGGGGCCCAGAGAAATCCGTCTTTCATGATGGCCCATATTTGCTGTACTTTAGACAGGCCTCTCCATGATTCTGAAATCGTTTCTCTCAAATCTCATTTTTAAAACAATCACTGCTGAGTAAGTTTTCTTCCAGAGCCGCCTTGAGAATTCCATCTTGGAACAAGAATAATGATCCCTTTTCTGAAAAATGCAGGTCGCAAAATCTGAGCGCTGACGGGCAGGACCGAGGGGTGCGAGGTAGAGGGTTCTCTGCTGAATCCAGGCCTGATTTCTGGAAGAGGGCAGTGGTCAGGGGCCTTGGGTCTCTTCTCATCTATGAAACGGGCCCGTGCTTGTTCTCCTCTCAGAGAGGAGGTGTGTGAATGGCACCACATTGAATTCATATTTTTGTGCTCTGGAGAAACAGAGGCATGGGGAGAATGTCATTTTTAGGACAAGCATTTTTTTTTTCCCTCGTGCAAGTTTGATACAGTCTTTTTGGGCGAGGGCTGTGTTGTTATCTTTACAACCAAGCAGGCTGTCAATGAAACTGGGATGTTAGAGGTGCAGACCATTAGAATCCTGGACTGGCTGCAGCCAATAATGAGCTTGTTTTAGCAAGAAGTCAGCTCTTCAATCCAACGGGAAAGTAGTTTATTGAGAAGTGTCCTTGGGAACAGGAAGGAGCAATGCCCTTCTACAGATGGGTCACCTAACCTCTGAGACCAGGAGAGCCAGGGCTGCACTAGGAGCCCAGGGACAAGTTCTTGTCCTTCCTCTGCAACCAGCTAGCTGTGTGCTCTTATTTCTGTCTACTGTTCCAGGCCTCAGGTTTCCCATCTGAAAAATGGGCAGGTTGAGTTCCAACATGTGGCTTTACACATATTTAAGCAGTAGAGCTCCTCCCAGGGAACACTTTTTTCAAATAGCAAATAAGACCAGGCCAGGAGAGGCACCTGGACACACCTGTGCCTGTGAGGTTTGCCACCCCACCACAGCGCTCCCTGAGACACCTGGGATCTCTGCTGCTCTAATGAGCAGAGTCGAAGCCACCCGCATAGAGGGTATTGAAACTCTTTTCTAACTGGTTAAGGAGTAGTGCTTGTTTCTAATCTGGAAGATGCCCTGGGGTGCTCAATGGGGTGTTGCTCAGTGCTGGGGTCCATCAGGGTAGCCAGTGCTTCAGAAAAACAGCTGAAGCAGAGGGGGCCTGAAGCTTGAAGACGTGGGCGGCACCAGTCACCATAGGAACGGCCACGCTGCAGACGCCTGTCACTGGTGATGGTTTTCTGTGTTGGCTACAGCTGCCATCTTCCTTTTCTTCCCTCGTTTATTCCCTAAGGCACACGTGTTTGTTAGTCATCTACTTCTAGACCACCGACAGTCTGGAGGGACAAGAGGTCCCCCGAGAGCTGCGTCATCATACAGGAGAACCGCCTCCCGAGATGGGAGATGGGCGGGGCTTAACCCAGGATTGTCCAAGGGGCCAGCGTCAAAGTGGCGGAGCAGAGGTGCCCAGGCAGAGGCGCGGCGCATGTGGATCCAGGGCGGGATGGAGCTTGGCCTGATCCGGGAGGAGGCAGCCACCCCCAGCGGAGGCTCAGCAGGGCCCCGAGGGACTGGGCTGTTCACACTGCAGAAAATCAGCGCATCGTTTGAGCCATGATCCCTCGTACCTTCTCCTGTCCACTGCCGGGCACTGAGTGCCTGGCCTGTGGGTGGGGCGCAGACTGGGAGAAGGAAGAGGCTGGGAGAGGAGACTGGAGAAAGGAAAGCAGGAGAGAGGGAGCGCCGGGCAGCCGCAGAGCATGGCCGTTGGCGTCCATGGGCACTCAGCGTGTGTGATTCTAGGCACGTGGCAAAACCCCCAGGCTCCTCACCTGAGACTGGGGTCCCAAAGCTTCCCCAGGGTGGTTGTCAAGAATAAGATACAGTATAGGCCTGGCACATCCAAATGGTCCCCTAAATGGTGGCTACTATTAGGGTGAAGAGACAGGGGCATGATTTAGTGGAAGGTGGAAGGTGAGCGACAGCCCATACCTTTAGTGCTTCACAATTTGCAAAACACATTCACCCTCAGGAAGGGGAGACTGTGCCTTATCTCCATGTTTGTGCACTCTTCTCTGGCTCTCCTGCAAACCAGCCACAAATCATCCCAGCAATAGGATCGTAGCAAGCTTAATGTTTATTCTTAATGTTTGCTCTGTGCCAGGCACTTTATGTCTCTAACTCATGTAGCAGCCACAGTCTCTAAGAGTAGTCGGCACTACTGCAGTTCACCTTACAGACTAGGAAACAGGAGCACAGAGATGTTAGGTGCCTGGGTTAAGGCTGCAGAGCTAGTAGGTGGGAGGAGCAGGATCTGAGACATAACTATTGCCAGGCCCTGCCCTCTGCTAAAAACTGAGGTGAGGAAGGCACACTCCCATCCAGGGGCTCACTGACAGCACTAGGTGGACACAGTGGATGGTCTAGTTGGGGAGACACATGACAAACCAATGATCTACACAGGTAAGGATTTTAATTCTTCTGTGATGGAGTTAAAAGTCAGGAATGCCATGAGAAAGAGTGTGTGTCAAGAGCCAGGGCAGACTTTACAGCCTGGTAAGTACCGAGCTGTGTGTGTGTGTGACAACAGAGACCCTGGGCTAGGCATGAAATCAAGAGTTGTATTAAAATGGGGCTCGGGCAGGTGAGCTGCCCCTGAAACTGTCAACTGTGATCATGCTCAACCCCCCCGTGCGGCTTATTAGTGCCTCTGTGAGGCATGAGCAGAGGAAGGAGAGTCTCTAGGCTCCATCGCAGCTTGTCAAGGCCTTGGTGCAAAGACCAAGCTGGAGCTTGTCAGCTGGAGGGCGGTTTTTTAGGATCTCATCTTTGGTACCACATGTGTCCCCCAAATCCCAAACTGAAAGATATTCCACAGGGAGTATCACAACCAAGAGGCTCTGCATGTGTTTAAGTCATGTGCTTGGGGCCAGACTGACATGGCTCCATTGCCAAGTTACCTTCTAAGATCGATGTGACCAAGTTTAAGTCACTTATCCTCCCTGGGTCTATTTTCCGTAAAGTGGCAGAGCAAGGGCTACAGGGGACTTGACTTAACATCTCTGTCCCACTTCTCCCTCCCCTACCTCTACTGCAGAGACCAAAACACAAAAACACTTATGTTCTCAGTCACCCACGCAGATGGAGACGACCAGATGTCAGGGTTCTGGCCAAAAGTCTTTGGGGAGACTTTCCTGAATAAGAAGACAAAACGTGTATCCTTTGTCCTTTCTCCTTCTCCTGCCTGAAAGGCAGAGCTTTCAGAGGTTCAGCAGCCCATTTTGTGACCATGAGAATGAGGAAGCAAGAAGAGAGAAAAGGCCTGGTTCTTTTAGAACAGGCTCAAACAGCCAGTTGAAGGGTCCTGAATCTCTTAGTATGAAAAAGATAGGAAAGTGAATGGATCTTTCACTTGTTTGAGCTATTGTTAATCAAAGTTCTGTTCTTTGCAGTTTTGTGCATTTCTAAACTGATATTAAGGGGATAAAGATAGGATCCATTTGATAGGTCATTATGAGGACTAAATGAGATAATTTGTGTACGGTGCAAAGTCCTGGCAGGGATGTAGTAATGTAGTAAGCATTCAGAAGTAGTTGCCCATACGCTAGAGAAGGGAAACTGTGCCAGCCCTTTAGTGAGTCACTGGGGGGAGTGTGGGAAGCCGAGGCTGGGGGAGGCAGGTCCTACCTCGGTCACTGAAGTCATCAACCAGCACGATCTCTGCCACCAGCTCCGGGGGTGAGCGGTTCAGCACGCTGTGGACGGTGCGGAGGAGAGAGGACCAGCCCTCGTTGTGGAAGGGGATGATGATGCTGGTGTTGGGGAGCCTCTCCAGGTAGCGTTTGCTGTTGCAGCTGGAAGGAGACACAGGAGAGGCAAAGGACTGGGTCAGCTCTCATCTTGCCAAGAGAACTCAGGCCTGGGCTTGGGCTTCTGCAAACCCTGCTGCCTCTCCAGCTGTCAGTGAATGAGCACCAACTGGGAAGACTGCGGCCACCATGGAACCCTCTTCAGCTTAGATCCAAAGTCCTGCCACCACTCCCGGCCCACACAGCAAAGGGATGTGGATCACAGACCCTCTGGCCTTGTGTGAGTCTTGATTCCCTGTGGAGGTAAGTCCTCAGTAATGCCCTGGTCCCTTTCCCTACCTCGGTTGTTGTGATTTATAACAACAAATATGTACGTTTTGGTTTGTGTTCCTGGTTACTGGCACAGAGCTTCTAAAACCCTTGCAATGTCCTGAGCAATAGAGGTGATAGGAGAATCTTCCTTCAATATTTGTTTTTTGACCCCGGTTCCTGACGCAGAGTTCCTAACTCCCTTGGCAACTCTTAATGGGCTCCAGGAGGGGGCTAGTCACTAGAATGATCACACCGTTGTTGGGAGCAGTGACTAAATTGTGATTCTTGAGCTGTCCTGCAAACAGAGGCAATGCCTCTCCTTACAACTTTCAGTGTGAAGGTGATGATTAAAGATAGCCCAGTTGCTATAGTGACGCCCTGTTCAATAGGAGGTTCTGTGCCAGCCAAGTTCTTGACCTTGAGGTTTAGACACCAGCTGCCCAGGGTTGGAAAGTTATGATAGTCATTATTGGGCTGCTCATACCTATGACCTTGGTTCCTTTAATGATAAAATCTATATAATAAATGTGCTAAGCTTGTTCTGGGTCACTATCTCCTATTAGGGTTTAGTGATCCAACAGGCCCCATCTTTTCCTCTCATTGTGTGTCTGTTTGTCATTTCTAATCCTCCATTGCCCCTCATCCAGTTTCCTGAATTAACCGCCGTGCAGGTAATGGCACACCAAGAAGCTTAGAACTTTGGGCCCCACCTCCCCATTCTCAATGAAGGGGAGAGGAGCAGGCAACTGAGTTAATAATCTATTAAGCCTGGTAATGAATTCCCCATAAAATCCTGAACCAAGGGATTTGGAGGACCTCTGGGTTGGGGAACACATGGAGGTGCTGAGAAGGAGGTGTGCCCAGAGATGGTGTGGAAGTTCCAGGCTCCATCCTCGAGAACTTGCCGGGACAGCTCTTCACCTGGCTGTTCATTTGTACTCTTTGTAATATCCTTTATAATAAGAAAAAGCTGGAAGAGCATTTCCCTTAGTTCTGTGAGTATTTCTAACAAATAATTAACCCCAAGGAGAGGGTCATGGGAACCTATAATGTAAAACTGGTTGAGGCCTGGATGTGCAGCTGGCACGAGAAGTGAGGCCAGTCACAGACTAAGCCCTGGCCTGAGGGATCTGACTAACTCAGACAGACAGTGTCAGAACTGATTTGAATTATGGGACACTCAACTGGTGTCAGAGAATTGCTTATTGCTGGGTGGGGTGGGGGGAGAAGCCCACATATTTGGTCACAGAAGTATCCTGTATTGAGTCTGTTAAATAGTAGAGGAAAAAAAATTGTTTTTATCTTATCTTACATACAACCAATTTTGAGGAGAAATGATTCATCCATGCTCTTGGAAGAATAAACTGGGCTTCACTGGCTCAGCCCCCTCCTGGTATCTGCTCTCCACCAGCCACAAGGAAAGCTTGGAGGGGGAAGGCCCTGCCCCCTGGGGGCATTCAAAATCACTAAACCGCCCAAAGGAATTAACATCTTTCCTTAATAACATATCTAGCTGGTGTTAAAATTTCCTTGGTCTTATGTCTTTTTTACAATTGGTTTGTTTAAATTGAACCAAAAGAAAGTCTGTATATTGCATTTAGCTGATGTGTCTGCTAACTCTCTTTTATATAAGTTGCCTCCTTTTCCCTTAAAAGTTGTTTAAGAAACACTATATATCTCCTGAAGTCTCTATTCTGCTGCTTGTATCTCTGTAGTGTTTAAAAATATGTTCTTCTGTCTTCCTTCTGTAAACTGAGAGTTAGATCTAGAGGCTTGAGATAATTTGATAAGATATTCTGGTAACTTCTTCAAAGCAAGTGGTGCATCCATTATAAATTCCTTGGGGGTATTCTATGTACATATATAGACATATGCATACACATAATTTAATTAATTATATATATATATATATATATATAAAATTAATAAAATGACATTTATAAATAGTGTTTCACTTCTTTTCCAATCTAGACAGCTTTTATTTATTTTTTTCTTGTTTAATTGTCTTGGTTAGAGACTCCAGCACAATGTTAATAGAAATAGTGAGAGCAGACATCTTGCTCCAGATCCGATGGGGAAAATCTTTCAGTCTTCAACCATTAAGTATAATGTTTGTGTGGGCTTTCCATACATGCCCTTTGTTAGGTTGAGGAAGTGCCTTTACATTCCTAGTTTTTTGAGTATTTTTATTCTGAAAAAGCGTTGCATTTTTGTCAAATGCTTTTTATTGGCATCTACTGAGATGATAATGTGGATTTTATCCTTATTCATATGGTTTATTGCATTGATTAAGTTCCATATGTGGAACCAACCTTGCATTCCTGGGACACCTTATTGGCCATGGCATATAATCCTTGCTGAATCTGGTTTTATTGTAATTTGTTGAGGATTTTTGTACCTATATTAATTAGGGATCTTGGTCTATAGTTTCCCTGTGATGTCTTTTTTCTGGTTTTAGATATTATATTACTTTTGCTAAAAATTTAGGTTGTTAACATTAATATAACTTATTGACTTTTTTGTACAACATACAATAGTTTCAGGAAAACAATACTAGTATTATTGGTGACAATATTATTACAGATTTTTTTTTGTCTGTAAGGTATATTTCATTAGGAATATTCAGTCAAATTTTGTGTTTTGTTTTGTTTGGTACTGAGGATTGAACCCCGGGCTCTGCAAATGCTAGGCAAGCACACTACCACTGAGCTATAGCCCCACCTCCATATTTCATATTTTGAAGCTACTTAAATAATTCCTCTCTGCATGGTTCTTTTTCAATACACAGTTGGGTTCATTTATTTCATTTAGCTTTTTGTTTTTAGGAATTCCTTTTTGCTTTTAAATTTTGGCCTAATCTCATTTTTGTAATTATGAAAAGCATTTACATGGTTCCAAAATCATATATAAAAAAAAGATAATACAAAGCTTTTGGGCTTTGATCCCAATCTCCTCTACCTTGTTTGGCTCTTCCTTCCTGGATCCCATTTTACTTTGTGGTTATAAGCAGCTACCTGTGTAAATTCCCTTGATTTTCTTTGGAGTGCATGATCACATGCCACAATATTTAGCTTGTCATCTTCATTTAGTATTATATCACGGAAATCACGCCTTGAGGGCTGCAGGGGTTTTGTTTGTTTGTTTTGTTTTGTTTTTTAAAGAAGTGGGTAAGTTAGATTCATAGAACAATAAGCAAGTTCATTTGGTTATACCAAGATCATTTTACAGAGAGAAAGCTTAATTATTTACTTCATAATAATTTTTATTATTTAGCTTTAGGAGGGAAGAGGGATGGAAGGAGGAAAGCTACTGAGCTTCTAAACAGTGCTTCTCAGGTTCTACCTGGACCAGCAGCCTCAGCATCACCTGGGAGCTTGTGAGAAGCATTGTCTGGCCACCCCACCCCACTTGAATGGGTGGAGCCCAGCAACTTGCATTTTAACAAGCGATCTCAATTCACTGTCCTAAAATATTCACATTTAGGACTGGTGGAATGGGTTCCCTGGGAACAGCTCCAAGGAGAAGAATTGTGTGTAGACGGTTTCTTGGGGAGGGCTCTGGGGAGATACCCCTGTAAGGAAGCGAGAGAGAGGCAGGTGAGGGAGGAAGAAGGAAAGGTCACATTTGAGCCCCAGTACATTTCACCAGGAGCGCTGGAGTCTGGAACATTCCCAAGTTGTCTAGATTGAGATTAGGGCCTAGCCTTTCTCTCCAAGCATGAACTAGGCATTGAGAGGGAGTGAAACCTTAAGCAAATCTGCTCCTTGTGGTCAAGGGCAATGCCCAGTGGGAAGGAGGACCCCGAGTTGCCCCCTGCCCACATTCTTGACAGCCTGGGGATGGGCACATCAGCTGAAGAGGGACTCTAGGGAGAATAATGTCCATTCACTATAAAAATGACAGAAAATTCCCAGGAAGGCACTATACCCTCCCCACTTCAACAAACATGTAGCCTACGCCTGTTATCCCAGCAGCTTGGGAGGCTGAGGCAGGAGGATCGCAAGTTCAAAGTCAGCCTCAGCAACTCAGCAAGGCTCTAAGCAACTCAGTGAGACCCTATCCCAAAATAAAAAATAGAAAGGCCTGGGGATGTGGCTCAGTGGTTGAGGGCCCCTGGGTTCAATGCCCAGTGCCCAAACCAAAAACAAACAAACAAACAAACAAAAAATGAAACCTGCAACACAGAGAGGTCGTGGAAACTTACCTAAGGTCATACAAACAGAAACAGGTAGGATCTGATGCTGGGTGTCTATCCTAGAGCCTGTGCTCCCAGCCACCGTGCTGACACCCATGACCCCAGAGCCCAGAGAGCAGGCAAGGTGGGGTTCACCATCCCATTTGGCAGAAGGCAGAGACCCAAGGCAGGGGGGGGGCAGCCTGTGCAGGGGCAAGGGTTCTCACTGGTGCAGCACCCCCAGAGTGGCACGGGGGGCAGGAACATTGTCCTTCCTACCATGCCTGCTGTCTGGTTGACAGAGTCTCAGGTAACACTCAAGACAGCTCTGCATGGAAGCTTTCTGGGAAGCTTTCAGAAGGTGAAGGAACCTGCCTAGGAATGACAGCAAGAAGCACATCGCACCGCCTTTGTCCTCGGGTGCAAGCTGGGGTCACCACGCTTTCCTGTTTTCCAGCTGTGACTTGTGCCCACCCCCACATCCCACATATGTCACCCGATTGCTTGGCTGGTTTCTTCTCAAACCTCTACATCCTAGCCTAAATGTCTCCTCTTCAGA